CCATACCGCACACAATAATAAAATGTCCCCCACGTCGAGGACCGCAGTGACAACGAGCACAACGATGAGCAACATGAGGGTTGTCTGTGCTCGAATTCATCACAACACTCTAGCCCCCGTTGGTTCAGGCCTCTGCCACACGAAGAGGCACAGATGTAACATCATTTGCACGCAACAGAGTGAAATCCGCAAGAACGTTGTCAGAGTCATACAGGACGCAACAATCACCAGCCCGGTCAGTAGCCGTTGTGGGCATATTCTGCAAAACATGGTCCACGCCTACAGGAAATTTGTTGTCCAGCTGCACAAATAATTTATTGTTGGGCCAAGCAACGTGGGCCAAAAACGACGACACCAGTCGATATTCGGTCGTAAAACCGCCAGTGAGAGCCATCGATTGGAATAAACACCAAAGCCACCAACGGCCAACAAGAACTGCAACAAGGCATTCGTACTTGAATCAAGGAACGTATTCTTCTCCTCCATGAAGAAAAAAAAACAATATTTTTCCTCCTTACAGAGCCTTCCAGCAATGAAACACCATCATGCAATCCGCCCTTATCGGCACTACTCAGGAGCATAAGAACTGTGCAACGCGTAGAGGGCGCTGCAATCAGGCAAATGAGATGCTCCACGGTGGCAAGCAGACTCCTCCCAGGCCAGGCATCAACCAGTCGCGAGCAGCATGTCTCTTCATGGGCTCGCCGTTTTGTTTCCAAGCAAAACGGAAGGCTTTCGTCGCTCAGCACCAACCCCGCGTTGCATCGTGTCGTCAAGGGAATCAAGTGAGGACGACGGAGTACATCATCAGGGAAATAGCCCTCATTTGTGGGAAACGGCATCGCACACGCCGGAAACAGGTGCGCATGATGTCCCTCCACGTCAGCTGCGTAGCCTGTCAGCTGAAGGAAAATTCGGTGAAAAGGAAGTCAGCGCACTCACCTCCACCCCAGGCAGTTTTATCAGGACGACCAAAGCACCAAGCTGGGGCTCCACACTTGTTGAGGGATATCGTGACGCCCTGACACGTCCACGTGCATGTCCACACAATGTCCTACTCCTTTTCCCCCGCCGCACGCGTCCGCACCGTCTTTTAATCCACATCCAGGAGGGATCGGATGGCGAGTGGCACCTGGTCAGCCAGCAGCGTTCCATTCCTTAAGGCTCCGAATACCGAAGCCCCAAAACCACCGGCCATCAATCAATGATGCCGTTGGCACAAGACCTCCTCTGGCCAACGCCACACACTTGTTCCGGAGCACATGTTATCCCATGCCTCGCTGACGCCGCCCTCAGCATCCTCTACAGGTACACCGTGCATTCACTCCCAAAATACGGGTGTGGAGTACACCTCAATAATAACTGCACAATTAGCCTGCAAACCGCTCGCTGAAAGTTGTCATTGTGTTGGGTGGCAGGGGCAACGCAATCACTTATCGCAGCTCCTCAGGAGATCAAAGAAGATAGCAATCATCATTCAACTGAGATGGGCTTCGCAAGCCCCTTGCGACTTTTGTCCGATGGGGTGCTTCAGTGCGTATGAAACCTTGTCCGCGGGACGGAATGCCTATGCGCTCTAAAAACGTAAGCATGAACTCACGGGAGAAGAATACATAATATAACGGAAGCAAAATGCCACAAATAAGAAAGAACGGTAAAAAAATTATATGGAGGGGTATAGATATGAAAATATGCATCGATCAATGTATAGGTATATCGATATGGGTATGAGTATCAAAACGCTACTTTATTTTTATTTATTGATGCATCTGTATAGATATGGATATATCCCTTCCTTCCCCTAATAAAATTCGACAGATTGCTTGGTTTCTTGGTTTATTGAAATGCTATTCTATTGACTGTATATTTATATAGATAGGCATGTAAATATCGGTACCAATATCTATTCAGCGCTGTTGATATATATATATATATATATTGTTACTATTCCTCGTGTCCTCTCAAATAAATACAAAGGCCCACACGCCAGCCACCATCGCAGAGCACGTCGGCTCAATGATTAAAGATGTAAAAGAGAGACCCGGCACCCAAAGTGGGGGCCGGACAGCGGAGGCCGTGAAGCACACACCACCGCTACGCACCCGCCCCGGGGATAGCGCGGTGGCTCAATAATCCGCTGCTGCCAAGAATCAATAAAACAACAAATCACAGAAACAACCAAACATGGACGCTATAAATGAGGAAAGGGAGAAGAGGGCAGACTGCCAGGAGCAAATACGGCCCGCCGCATCTGCGGGGGGCCTTGTGCCTTCTCGCCGCGCGGAGGTACTGATGGTGCAGTGCCTTTCCACTTCAAAGTGGAACCACACCAATATTTCCGTGAAGCACGACTTCCCCACTTCTCCAATGTCCGCTCCATGCTTTTTTCTGGGTGCCTGCAGAGCCGGGCAGCGGGGTAAATGCAGACCTGCCTCTCCGCACAGTTCCATTCGGCCGGTATTCACAATGTCCGGTAGATGCCCGTAGCGTGCCGTGCGGTAGCGGGTCAGTCAGGCATTGCTGTGGCACGGAAACCCGCACGCTAAACGGCAAAACCAAACTGGTGGTAGTCGCAGCGGGATGTCGTCGCCGAGCAACGTGCGCCTTCTCGGCGGCCTGAGCCCTCTGCCGCCGGGAAATCGGCAACAGCGTGACGCTAATCAATGCATGTGTGCGTGCCAATTTAGGCACACGGTGCATTGTTTCTCGGTGGCATTCTCCTCCTGCGTGGAGGCGGGGATTCTGCGTTGGTTTGATGCTCTTCATGCGAAAGTTCAAGCTTTGCAGCGCGTGGTTACTCATTCTCCATTTTTAGTGTCACGACTTTCTTTCTGTCGGGTGTTTGTGCCGGGCGTGGGTGGTCAATCCCCCGGCATTCCCCGCCTGCCTGCCGCATTAAGGGAACCTATGAGGTGCCACTTCCTTCGGTGCCGACGGTAGCTCTGTTCCGGAGTTTCGAGTGCCCGTATGAGGGATAGTGGTCCCGCT